CCTGGGTGAGGGGCTGATGGCTGTTTGAAGGCTGGCCACGGCCCCCAGCCACCCAAGCTCCCAGTGGAGGCTGGCTGGAAGCAGGGATCTGAGATTTATTTATCTTCTATAATTAAAACTTTGTTGCCTTGAGCGGAGGCCACAGCCGGCCGGGGCAATAGGGAAGCTTGGCTTCCTCCATCGCCGGGGCAACCGAGCCTCCTGCTTGCTCCAGCTCCGTGGCTGCTGGCCGCCATCTTGGTTGGGTTGATTTGCACATAGTTGCTGATTGGCTGGTGGGTGTGGCTTGGGGCATGGCGGAGGTGTGGTCAATTTGCATGTTTCTCTTTTATTATATTAGATTAGGGTACTCCTAAACTGGCCTTTGCTAAAAACGTCCTCAATCTGAGGGGTCGACCTCAGCGAACGTACCCCCACTTCTTCTAACGCCACTTCTTCAAAATAGACTCGCCCAGGCCAAAAACCGACTTCTGCGCATGGGCCACGAAGTTTCAATCGCACTATACGTGCACGCCCACACGTGGTATTTTGTGGAAGAGCCACACTCAAGGGGCCAAAGAGCCGCATGTGGCTCGAGAGCCGTGGTTTGCCAACCACTGATCTATACTAATAATAGCCTAGGGCTGTCACAACCTAAACAACCAGACAGATGATCGGTCACCAGGAAGTGCATGGAGCACTTCTCGGTCCCTCCCCCATGGCCCACAAGGCTGGCGGCAGGCAGGCAGGCAGGGCGAGGCAGGTGTGGCAGCTGCAGATCAGGCCCAGAGAGAGGCAAGTCCTGATCACCAACCACTACAGCTGCTGGCGAGGCCCAGAGAGAGAGAGAGGCAGGGCCTGATCAGCAGGTGCTGCAGAGGCTGTGGATCAGGCCCAGAGAGAGGCCCGGAGAGAGAGACAGCTGTCAGCAGGGCCACTCTGGATTTCCCAGAAGAGCCAATGGCTGCCTAGGAGGCAGAGCTTTTGACGCTGACTGGCATAGAAACCGACCAATCAGAACCTAATCTGGGTGAACTGTGAAAGAAGAACCTAAGGTGGGGGCTGAGGAGGGGTTTTAAGGGCAACAGCTGTTTGGTGTAAGGTGTAAGAAAGCGGTTCAATTTTTTAATGACTGGTTTGGCAGTATAGTGCATATGGCTGGCTATCAGTCCAGATATAGGGATTATGTATTTTTGTCTGCCAAGAGTATCTCCTCCTGATGAAAACGGCCCCCCACCCCCGCATTTTTGCAATCCTATCCTATATAATCTATATTAATAAAAGGGTAATATGCTAATTAGACCGGGTCGACTGGCCATCTTCCAGATGTCCAACTTCCTTCCGGACAAAGCCATGGTGGTGGGAGCCGAGGCAGAGGTAGTTAGGGGCCATCAGGCCAACAGGGGAGGGCAGTTAGGGGCGATTGGGTCAGCAGGGGAGGGCCATTGCGGGCGATTGGGACGGCAGGGGAGGGTCATTGGGGCAACCAGGCCAGCAGGGGAGGGCTTTTGGGGGTGACCAGGCCAGCAGGGGAGGGCCATTGGAGGCAAGATCAGACTGGCAGGGGAGGGCTGTTGGGGGCGACCAGGCCGGCGGGGAGGGCTGTTGGGGGCGACCAGGCCGGCAGGGAGGGCAGTTAGGGGCAACTAGGCTGGCAGGGAGATCAGTTAGGGGCAATCAGGTCAGCATGGGAGAGCAGTTAGGGGCGATCAGGCTGGCAGGGGAGAGCAGTTGGGAGCAATCAGGCCAGCAGGGGAGCAGTTAGGGGTGATCAGGCAGGCAGGCAGAGGGTTTAGGGGCAATCAGGCAGGCAGGCAGGTGAGCGGTTTGGAGCCAGTGGTCCTAGATTGCAAGAGGGATATCCGACTGCCGGTTTAGGGATCGGGCCACAGGGATTGGGCCTAAACCGGCAGTCGGACATCCCCCAAGGGGTCCCCAATTGGAGAGGGTGCAGGCTGGGCTGAGGGAACCTCCCTCCTTGCATAAATTTCATGCACCGGGCCTCTAGTATAATAGAAGTAGATGTAATCAAAATCAAATTAATACTAATGATTTCTTCAAAGTATATATTTTAAAATCAGTTTGTTAAACTTCACAGATACCAATCACTTAAGTCCTTATGCTGTAAGACAAAGTAGCATTTAGCCTCTAAACATGGTTCGAATTTTCAAGTGCCCCTTTAGCTACCAAATATTTAGATTTTTAGATAGTTATGCTCTTATGTAAGTTTAGCACATGCTTCCATTTGAGTTTAAAATGCTTTCTAATCTCAAAAATACCTGCTGGCAAGACAAACACTAATAATCCTTAGGTTAAGATATTATTAAATAAATTGCCTTTGGGCCAAATTATGCAAACCATTTCAACAATGCTAGTCAAATCAGATATGGCCTTTAAGTCACAAACCATAACTGTATTACATATGGGTAACATTACTGCTAAGTAATAGATGAAGTCCAAACTGTATACTTAAACAAATCATAAAAGCTTCCTAACCTTAGTTGGGAATATGGTAGACGGAGAGTAAGTTTTGAACCAGGCAGACCAGGATTCACACCTAGTTCTATCCCTTAGTGAATAAACCTGGGGCACTCTTTTTAAATACCATTTTCATCTGTGAAATGGGAATAATACTACCTAACTTCACAGTACTGCTGTGAGGATTAAGTGATATAGTGTAGATTCAATCAATGGCATCTATTATTACTAAGTATTTAAATGTCTCTAAAAAACAAAAATATTCCTTATATCTAAAATTTAAAAAAGAAAAATACACAACCAATATTGCCTAGTGATATAGTAGTAGATACTCCTTCAGAAATGTCTTAAACTAAAATTTTAATCCCGTCTTTCTCTACTATAGATGGTGCTGGATACTCAGTTATCAGAAGATTATCTACTTAGATCCAATCTATAATTTATAGTAGCAGTTTTATCTTTTCGCAAACTTTGCAAATTTCCAGTGAAAACTCCGAAGTGCCACAAAAAATTTATCTGTAGACCATGTGCTTTAGTAATTCTTTAAATAAAGTATTAATATAACCTAGTATCTTTACTAATGTCAGTTTAAATGTATCAAAACTGTTTAACAGCCTGGCTGGTATGGCTCAGTTGGTTGGGTGACATCCTGTGCACTAAAAAGTTGCCAGTTCGATTCCCAGTCAGGGGTCAGGGCGGGTTGCAGGCTCTATCCCCAGTGGGGGGCATGCAGAAGGCTGCTGATTGATGTTTTGCTCTCACATCAATATTTCTCTCTACAGCCCTGACTGGTTTGGCTCAGTGGATAGAGTGTCGGCCTGCGGACTGAAGGGTCCCGGGTTCGATTCCGGTCAAGGGCATGTACCTTGGTTGCGGGCACATCCCCCGTAGGGAGTGTGCAGGAGGCAGCTGATTGGTGTTTCTCTCTCATCGATGTTTCTAACTCTCTATCCCTCTCCCTTACTCCCTGTAAAAAATCAATAAAATATATTTAAAAAAAAAAAAAATTTCTCTCTACCTTCCTCTCTTCTCTAAAA